TCTCAGTGTTGGATTGGCTTGTTATGCCTCTTTTCCTCATTTCTTATCCTTTTTAAGTGGATAAGACGGCATCACACTGACTGTGTCCTTAGGACCTCGATTGTTACTGGACAGCGGGCAGGCCAGGGGCAGCTAATAAGAATCGCCATACTGTTTCCTTTATCGTATCTCACTGAAACGACATGCATGGCCATCTAGACTGCCACTGATCGGCTTTTGCTCGTGGGGCGGCAAAGCCCACTGTGTGCAGGGGGGGCTCAGACCAGCCAACCATTGCTGAGAGCACCAGGTGAGGCCCCATTCCATTCTCTTTACCATGGTGTCTGTTTTTCTCAGCTTACTCCGTGCGATACTCGTTTCTCATTAAGGAAAACGGCTCAGGTCATGCCGGAGAGAAGCTGTAGGACTCACGTCCCAAACGCGCCGTCAATAATCTGAACACTTTCCGCAGCTCGGACACATCTTACGGCTTTATTTTGAAACTGTTCATTGATCTGCTTAAGGCTCTTCCCGAGCTGCCGAGGCACCATATCTCCGCATAAAGGTTTATTTGCAGAAGGTCGAGGCCCAAAAGCTTAATCTGTGCCTCGTACAGAGTATGCCATGCAGTGTTACGTATGCAGGCTCTTTTGTTTATGTAAGTACGAACGGTATTCCAGTGAAGAGGCTGCGAACAAGTCAAGTGTTGCATAGTTGTACAGTTGCTGTTGCCATCCGTTTTGCACGAAAACGAGTGTTTTAAGTACCCAAAAAAAACACTGAGCGTCTCCTTCCACCTGTTTACCGCCCAAGGACAGGCAAAGAAAATACGGACGCTGATCTCTTAGACCTTGCAAGTTGACAACGGCCCTGCTTTGCAAAGCCTTGGCCGACCGCAAAACGGTGCTGCCTCTTATGTTTACTATTTAGCATTAAGACCATGAACACATTGAAACTAACATCAGGTGTACGGTAAGCTTGATTCTAGCTTTTCTTGTTGCTGGTATACCATTTTCTTCATCTGTGTTTGCTAATGGCTTCATTATGCAAACATCAAGTCGCGTCTGGATTTGTTCTTGTCCCTCCATTATCCACCACAAGCCACAAAGGGTGTGTCGTATCGTCTTTTCACTAAAAGGTGCAGCCCTCTGACCAAAATAAATAAAAATGCAAAAATTTCGGCTCCTCAGCCTTTGCATGATCTTCGTCTAGGTTTGCCCGCCATCCTTGTCAGCTCAACCATCTAGTGACCACCTACCCCGGCAGTCACCCGGAAAAGCTGCAGGTTTGTCCAAGGGAAGCGGGCTAGGTCGACTCGGCCAGGGATTCAGCGAATTTTATCTTGAAGACAAGGGAGGGGGGCTGTTACTTTTGCCAAGTTCCTCCGCTCACCTGTGCGCCCTGTTCGTTTCTCTCCGCACGTGTGTACGCATACACAGACGGTTAGAGAAAAGGCACCATCGTCCCTTTTGCCGCTGTAGAAGCAACGGCTGCTGAGCGGATATTAAAGACTATCGGCTGGTTCCTCAGGGGCACAGCACATTTCCAATAGCGTCCATCTCTTCCAACCTGGGCTGCCGTTCAGGACTGGAATGAGCGCTAAAGCGCGCTGGACACGAGAAGGAGGCTCAGTTGACGGAATCTCCAAGTCGCTTGTCACTTCAACTCCTCATGGCGGTATCTGAGTTACGGAGTACAGACTTGCGTCTACTTTCTAGAGCTACAATACTCCAAGATCTTGTGCAAGCACAGAGCGAGTGATCAATGCGCTCCTTCAAGACTGGACACCATTGTTGGGTAGAATACGATGAAGCCACCGGTGTGGCCAAACGCAAAGCAACCACCCCAAGTCAAAATTTTATTACAGATGATAAAGACCAGCGGCCAGACAAGGAATCATACTCTACTCCATACTCGACCTCGAGACCCACACAAGCGGCCACACCTGCCAGTCCCCATCCCTCCTTCTCCCCTCTTCGCCGACGCGCACAGTCCACTAACCAGGCTCGGGAAGCGAGGAGCAATTCACAGAAGGATGCTGTTCAAATCGGGCTTGCAGCAGGGAGGGAAACCCCTCGTCGCTTTTCTCACGGCGTTCATTCAGGGCCAGGCCACACATCTCGGCCGCGTCGGTCTCTGTTCACCAGAAGCTAACTAGACCAGCCCACTATCAATAGATTGCCTATGAGAGAATTATCTTTCGCGCCTCTCTCCATTCTCGTTGTTACTCATAGTGTGAGCAAGCTCGAACCTCTGGCCGCCTGTTCGCGGTCCCGTCATTTATCTCCCTTTATCGAGTTGACTTTCAGATAAAGTGCTTGTATGAAAAGCGCAGCAAATCGACGAACACAATGAAAACATGGACAGCCCTAGCCATGGCTTGCAACGGCAAACGGAGGTGGATATTCGATCCTCTACCTCATACAGTCCCAGCAGATGTAGTGCGGCGGCGTGTCCCCCCGATCTGCACAACACGACCAGCAGCAGGCTGGGCCGTTGAACTGTTTCGTTTATTCTGGGGGCTTTCGTATGTACCCCGGGATAGGACCAACGAAGTTTTCGTGCGTCCAAGCCTGTCCTTGCCGTTGTCTGAAGCCTTTTACCGCCGCACAATACCGTGCTCATCTGCACCACCCAACATCGGAGAGCGTGCTTACGGTTCGTGCGTAATAGCCTTATCGTGGAGGCCATTCTCCAGAGACAAAACGCTGTTTGGTGCCGCCTCAATTTTTCACCGCTACATGGCATTTCACTCTCTAGTTTTTTGGGGATTATCCTACTTCCGTCGTTCGCTTTTCCGACTTTATTTTTATTTTTATTTTTATTTTTTGACAAAGAGAGTGATGGTATTCAAGATATCCGAGGCTGGGCCAGCTGGCAGTAATGCATTGCCTCAGGATGGTGGATGGGGGGGAATAAGTGAGAAGCACCCGAGCACTCTTTCTGCAGTCATTGTCTCACCCGGAGCAAAATGGGTTTTCACCTTTCTGTCGACACCCGTTATGACAAACGGCTTCATTAATTAGCCTCGATCGTCCTCGGCCCCCTCCTCGCAACGCAACCATTCCCCTCCAACAGCCATCCATCCCATCTGCCCCCTGGTCCACGTTGAAAGTTTTCACTTTTCTGCCTCAACTGAGACTGTTTGTTTCTAAGCCTCATTGCAAAAACTTTGAAACTGTTTTTATATTTCACTTCTTTGGCTTCTCTATTACACAGAAAAACAATACCCTACTGCCATGTACTTTCATACGATGTACTGGCCGTCGGTATGCTCCCCTGCGGCTTCAACCCCTGTTCGAGTAAAATACTTGAATAGCCTTTTGGTCATATCCGTACACCACCTTTCGTCCACACCCCCCCTCTTTCTTTTGACAGGCGCACTCCCCTGCTCTTTGGTTGTTTATTTGTGGTGGCCCTTTTCTCAACTGGCCCCCCATTGTTGTCCCTCTTGCCGTCCCTCCACCCCCCTTCAGAATGTATCATTGAAAGCTAGACTCTCCGGTCCCTTGGTGGTGATTTTCGTCTTCTTTTGTGTGCTTTTGTGTTCATATGAATATATATGGTGCATAGCCGTTCACATATCCTATTCTCACCCTTACAAAAGCGTGCTTCTCGCTTGGGCTCTGCACCTCCTCCAACTGGGTCTCGCATCTATTCATATTGACATTTGAGACCGTCCGTCGCATACAAATATTTTCAACCTCGCAGGACCGGTCGTCTTCCGTCGTTGATAGGTTCGGCCTGTCTCGTCGGTCGATATTAACGCATTGTGGTTCTCCTATCCGCGCCCGCCGCCGACACAATTCCAGCATTTCGATTTGCGCAACCGGCACAGATGACGGCTTTTCGCCCTCTCTCTTGTTTGACAGCTGGTGCTCATATTTTCACGTACTTTGCCGATTTTCCATTATCTGCGCTTTTATTTTGGCTTGATGCTATTCCTGCTTTGTGTGCAATCCCGAGACTATAAGCACGAAACTCCGGAGGCACAGTACAGTAGAAGAATCTGCTGGTGATCATGAGAGAGAGAGGGTTGCTCGGTTCGATCGTTCAAACAACAACCCACGAAAACACAACAGCAGTTACAAATAAACAACGACATTTGCAGAAACAAACGGAAGATTCCTCAGAAAGGGACCAGTAAACTAGCACGAGCGAAACGTGACCCTCAAGATTCGACGAGGAGGTGACGTCCGTCAAAACCGTTCACCAAGGACCGTACACCGTTGTTGTCCCCCCTTCCCTTGTCTTCCCTTGCCTCTCACACAGATTACCCCCGTCGAAAACTCACTCCACTTCCCTCTTGCAGAAGTGACGAGTTCTGAGCCCGCATTGTACCTTCACTCTTCAGGGGGGTCTTCCACCAGAATAGAAAAGAGACCGTCTACCCACACCCTACATTGCCTATTCCTGCACGGGAAACATCCATCTACCTTTTATTTATTTTATCTTCTGTTTTTATTTTCCCTTCGATATTGCTCTCTCTCGAATAAGCACACATCACAGCTTTGGACATCGACACTGCAACCCGCCAGCTGTGTTGGCAACTCTTTCGAGGACGAGAACGACGACGGCCTGTGACCTGAACCATGCATGTCGTCCACCTGTCCATGACAACTACACCGGCCCCAGTGGGTAAAACGTGCATCTCGTCTGCTAGATCTTCCCGTGAGTAGCACGACTACTATCACAGAAGAACTATCGTCGCCCGACCAACTCCTGGGACTTCATGAGTTGAGACGACCATCAAATATCCAAACGAAAGCAAATCGCATCACGCTTCGCCGCTACAAAACCAACAGATCTCTTTTTCATTGAAGTTGGTAGTTTCTGACGAATCTTTTGCGTTTGCAACTATCGTTACTATTTGTACATCTCGTGTTGTTTACCTCGGATGGGTCGTTCTTGCTGTCGCCATCTTATTCGATTGGAAAGTGCAACGCGGCTTATCCAATTCAACTTTGCACAATTCGCACAGCCAGAATCACCGAACCGACGGAAAACAACGCAACGAGACTATGCATAGCACCTTCATGGCCTCGACAGGCGTGGACTCGGAAGCCCAACTTTCCTCGGAGACCAACCAGTACGACAGCAGCAGTTGGGACAATATGAACGGCTACCCACAGGCCACGATGGCCGGATTTGCCAACTCGGACTTCGTCTACATGCCACCCATTACGTCTCTTGACTTGCCGCATGATCCTCTGCACCGAATGCCGCCACCGTTGCAGCCGCGTGACTCTCCGCAGATGAAGCACGAACAGGACCAGCTGCACCAACCCCAGCAGCAGAAACTGCAGCAACAACATCCGCCACTGTCAATGGGCCAGGCCACATCGCATCACCACCACCAGCTGCCGCAACTGCCTATGCTGACCGTTCCGTCCAACCCCACATGGCCGAGCATGCTGACAAACCCCGGAAGCTACAATTCGCCGCCGATGAACAATGTTGTGCCCCGCAACGGGCCGTCCCGGCCGCCGCCACCTCCGCTAAAGACAAAGTTGAACGAGTCTTCCGGGCGGACCGGTCCTCGGAAGATGCTGACCGATGATGACCGCCGGAGAATGTGCGAGTACGCCGAGGCCAATCCGGGCGTGAAGCAGTCCGAGATTGGTAATATCTTTGGCGTCGAGCGCAGGTGAGTAAATTCGTCCTGTGTTTATTTTATTATATATATATATTTGGCTTTCTTGATTGTGGTCACTTACAAAATGTCGCAGCACTGTTTCCAAAGTTTTGCGAAACAAGGAAAAGTACCTTGTCAAAGACAAGTCTCCTGGTTCCAAAAAACCCAAGAGCAAGTTTCCCGACATTGAGCGGGCGCTGTCAAACTGGGTGCGCAACGCACAAAAGACCGGCGTGCCTGTCACGGATGCCGACATCAAGGAGAAGTTTCGGTTCTTCGCAACAAACACAGGCAGCTCGGACGCTGTTCTCAAGTCCACCAGCAACACTTGGCTGGAAAAATTCAAACAGAAGAACGGCATTGGTACCGGACGACTGGTTCGGCGTGCATCGGAGACCAATATTCCTGACAAGCGCAGAGGCTCCAAGTCCACCGGCATGATCGGGTCGCCGTCTCTCGTCTCCATGGAACCGACAAGCGTTGACTCACCCTTGTCGCCGGAGACGCGTCACCCTTCAGCATCGCCCTTGTCGGCCAGCCGCAGCGACGAAGAGCGCAACGCCGACAGTGCTGGGCCGCCTGCTGTCGGACAATTTATCAACTTTGGTGCTGGCCAATCCAACGGAATTGGAAGCAGCGGACAAACCAACCAGATTACCCATTCTGGTAGCCTGGGGAACAGCATAGGCATGGGCCTCGGTATGAGCGGCATGGCGGCCTACAAGCATGGCAACAACCAGAGCACGACGTCACTTTCAAGTGTGTTTACGGAGACTCCCGTGTCGTCCTTTTCAGGTAGCGCCCTGAGCCCGACGGTGCCATTTACGTTCTCACCGGATTCAAATGTTGGGTCTTTCTTGACCAGCGACCCGATGGCACCACCCGGAAGCGCCAATTTCCAGCGCCCACGCAGCCAGACACTTCCAGCCCTGAACCTGGAGTACATGAACCACGTCCAAGGCCAACACCAGCAGCACAACAACGACGCCATGGTGTCTGAGACCACTGGCGAATCGATGACGCCCAAGTTCCAGCATCAGCACCATCTGCCATCGACCGCTCCTTCGTCAGCCGTCGACTCGCCCATGACTGACATCTCAGCACCTTCTTACGGCATCGACAGTACGGTTGTGTCCCCTCAGCTTCGGCGGAGCAACAGCAGCAACAGCCTCTTCCAAAGCGGCTCGCGGTCGGCGGGCGGTCTTGGCGGCTCGACTGTCCTGGGTGTGCCTATGAACACTGGCGGCAGCAGTGGTGGGGGCGGATCGTCTCCTAGCTCACCCACGCAAGACGATGCTCGCCGCGCAGCTGACACGCTCTTGAACTTTATCCAGCACGTGCCTAGTGCGTTCGACCAGACCGACTACGTGGCCGTGTCTCGCCTCATTGAAAAACTGCGCCTGCAAGCAACGAACAAGGGCCATGGGGGTGGAGGAATGGGCGGCTTGTCCCGGATTCCCGAGGGCGAAGGCGAGATGACCAACGATGTACACCATACGAAGCTGGAATCCGCCCTCGCTGCTTAACATTGATCCGACAGGCTTTGCTGCCCCAGGGGGTTTCGCTCTTCGTGTCCCCCTAGCTTCTTTTCTTTTCTTGTTATTGTTTTTCTCTCCTTCTTCTTCCCGTTCTTTGTTGCTGCTTCTCACGTTATTTCCATGATCATTTCCACTTTTGGAGCTCCATAATCCTCCCTCAACTGTGGGCAGTCAGAGGCAGCGCCCGCCAGCCAGTCGTGGACAATTTACACCCTCTCCACATTCAACACAGCCCCCTTTTTGCTTTGTTGTCTGTTCTCACTGGCCAGGCCGTTTGTCCCTAGCTGACCACAATACTCTCAAACTGCTCTTCTATATTACAACGATCTGTTATGGAAACAAAACGATCAATACGCCCACGCTTCCACTTATACCCACCGCCTTCTTCCATCTACACACATTCTTTGGGATAGCCATCCACAGTTATTTACTAAGGAAGATCTCTCCCCGCTCACGCGATCACGGCTTCTGTTTCCGAATTTTGGAGTTTTACTGTTCTTTTTTCCTTTTTTTTCTTTCCCATTTCTCATTTTCTGCTCCTTTAATGTTTTTGGCTGAGTGCAAGGAAACAGCATATATGGATACTGTAGCATTTGGAGTTAGTGCTTCGGTTGACGGTACATATCACATTCGAACGAAGGAAATTCAGCATGCATGTTGGCCACGGCACCCCATGAGCTCTGATGGATTCACTCTACCACATGGCTTGAACGCATACATCCTTATGTTCTGCTTCGTCACTTTCCCCCTTTCTCTCTGCCTTCCTCGCGTTTCATTGTTTGTCTATTGATCTATCATGTTGTTTTACCTGTTTTTTTTTTTTTTTTTATGTATTTTTGTTTCGCCTCCGGTTGGGCAGCTTTTACAGGTATTCTCTCGCCGAGCTGAGGACGCAAGTCCGGTGGCTAGAGAAAGAGGAAACACTTCAACTTTGGACACGCGTCCGACTCAACAACCATACCTACATGTCTTCTTTTTGGATGGGAACGGGAGAAAACGGGACGAACGCTGATTGGATTTTTTAAAAGACATATGGGGGAACCAAGTTGTCCAAGAGGATGAGGACCCAGGGGACTTGCAGAGTCCTTTTTGTGGATTTTGTTTGGCTAATATTTCTTAGTGGTTTTGCTTTTCTTCCCCTATCCCCATTTCCCTTGTTATTTTCTCCTCCTCTGATTTGTTTCTTTTTAATCTTATCGTTCTGGGACGGCAATTGTCATTTATTGTCACTTTCTTTTTCTTCTTTGTTTTGTTGGGTGGCCAAGGGGGGTGAGAGACAGGTGGAACTCATGACAAGGATGGTTGACGGAGTATTTTGGACTTTTGCTTGACCTCGTCCACCTTCGCATCCTTCCCATGATCACCGTTTGTCACTATCTCTTTCATTCCCCGTTTTTTTGGTTGTCTTATTTTGTCTTCTGCTTCATCACACCAAGACAAGTGATCAAAAGTCAAAAGACGGACATGAGACTAACATCGTACGCACGCAACTACAGAAAAAACTACCAACCAACACCAAAAAAAGACATGCAAAGCACAGAAAAACCAGAATAATAACAAAAAAAAGCTCTTGGGCGGCTATTTGCAAAAACAACTTGCTCCTTGTAAATAACTCAAAGGCGAACGTGAATTTGTCTCATGATACTACATACAATAGAGGAAACACCGAGAACATAGCAGTCAAATACGATAGGATACGACAAGACAGTAAAATCAGAAGAAAAGGGTATCATTGTATATTCAAGCTCAAAACGTTGGGGTCTATAATAGGGAAGAAATTAGGGGCTACAGGCTGTATCAATAAGTATGGACACGGGACAGAAAACATGGTGAACCCCTTAGCTCAGCCGTTCTTCCCACAAGCCGAGGACACCTGTTTCAGCGAGCTCAGGCACCAAACGCACGAAAATGGCCTCGAGGATGCCGTACAATAGGTGCTTATTGCAGTAGGCGTCGTCGAAAACGTTGAGCAATCCACCCTCAATCTCAGCCAGGACGGCCTCGCTGGGCTTCTTTTTGTCGCTCCAGACGGCGTACACGGCCTCGGCGGTGCGCCGTTTTAGAGAGGCAAGTTCTTCCTCGTTGGCAGGCGCGACGAGTGTGGGCGGCGTGGCGCCAAACTTGTTGCCTGGAAAGATGGCGCCCCGGATTGAGCGCAGCAAGTTGGGGAGGAGTGCAGGTTCCAGTGCGTACTTGTGAATATAGTGAGAGAAGAGGCTGGGAAAAGTTAGTAACGCGGATGTCCAAAGAGAACGAAAACGAGATAACGGCAATCTCGAATAGGATTATGATAAACAGTGGCTGTCAAGGTGATGACATCTAAAATGTGTACTTCATCCAGATGCACTTTTTTTTTCGTCGTTTTCTCTCTCTTATTTGATTTTGCCTTTGGATACCGCGTGGGGGTCACAGGTACTGCAGTATTTCAGGAAGGGGTCATGATGTTGAAGGGATGTGTGTAAGAGACAAACGAGAGGCGAGGGCATTGTCTAATTTTCCTCCAGGATGCCGCGGCAAGGGAGTAAAAATAAAACAGGAAATAGCAGGGCAAGAGAGCTATTTCCATCCCGCTGTAATCCAATGTGATTTTTTTTCCTCATAGAAATATCCCTTCTGGGTTGACGGCACGACAGAGGGATGAAACAAACAAAAATGATAGCACTTGCAAGTGAATCCAGAAAAACGAAAATAAAAATATGGCAGAATTAAACGAAACAAAGGAGGCGAAGGGAGTAAAACAAGCCGGCAGGGATGGTACAGCCTGCGCTGTTGCGTCTTGGGGTACGTGCGTTTGAATTCTGGGTGCCTAGGAGCTCTGTTTTGTTTGCAGTGCTTGGGGAAACTGATATAGTGGTTGCATGTGGGTGCATGTGTGTATGTATGTTGCTGGTGTGAGGCCTGTCTTGCGTCTGTTTGGCCTCTTCCCATCAAGCCTCGGGCCTATAGGGGACCGGTCGGCCCAAAGAAGAAAAAGGGCCGCTGAGAACATAGTACCAAAAAGTGATAGGATGTCTTCAGGAGGTGGTGATGTGTGGTTGTCATTCTCGTTTGCCTGCTTTGGCTGCCTTCCATTTGCATTTTGCAAAGTACCTCTACCAGCATCGTCGCCCAATCTTCACCCTTTGACACCGGTACGTCCGCTGTAGCCCACACCAACCAATATCGTCGTGGAGGGGATGTGGACAACCAAGCGAGAGGGTGGTGGAGAAGAGGGGAGAGCACAGCAGAGGTCGATTCGGCGAGAAACAAAGCAGCCAGAAACTAGACCCGGACAGGAAAGCAGGTAAGGGCGAGAAGGGTGTGTGAATGTGAACAACCATGGACGGCACAAAGAGAGAGAAGACTGCAAAACAAATGAGCACGTGGGCTCAACGTCGTTCGTCCTTCCTCTCGTAGACGGTTGACAAAACAAGTCAAAAAAGGAGCTAGGGAAGTAGGAACGCAGGAGCGAGTGCAGGATCTGCTTTTTGACCTGAACGGCCGCGAAAGAGGGAACGGAACGAAGCGATCGGTCGTTTTTGCCACTCCCTAGCGCTGGCTCGAGAAGGGGGAACCATTCAAGGGCATCATGAGGTGCGAGTTGTGAACATTGACAGAAGGAGCTAGACAGAGACGCGGTGATCTTCTGTGAGCAGATTGAGGGCCGCATAGAATCCAACGAACGGCGATGACGACGAGAGGAATCTGCGCGCCGGGAGTGAGGGGAGTGACTTATGATCACCGGGCGCGTAATTAAGGTGCATTGGTGGATGTTGGCGCGGTTGAATTCTGTGCAATAGGAGGCCAGAGAAGCACTTTTGGACGTTTATTGGACGGAAAGCCAACCACCAACAAGGGGACAAGAGGGGCTAAGATGGAAGCTATTCGACCGGTGCCGGAGAATTCAAAGAACTGGGGAATGCCCCGAACGGGGGATTGACAAAAAGGAGATGAAAAGCGGATGACGATAAATAAAAATAAAAATAAAAGGGGAAGGGCAGAGGATCAAACCTATTCTCCAGCCATATTTTACTGAAATAGGAAGAACCAGACGAAAAGAGAAAAAATTGAAAAGGCAAGGGAGACAGAAAGAAATAGACGCGGCCCGCGGAAACGCGCCTGGACGGACTTGGTCTCGATTGAGCGGCGCGTGTAGTGTGTGTGGAGAGAGATATACGATGTATGTGAAGTGACGGGAAGCATATTGTGCTTTCTTTTTGCTGTCTTCTGTCGGAAGAGACAAACAAGGCCAGAACCACTGGACAAGGGCCGTCGGTAAGCAATATCCAGCCGCAGAGCACATTTGCAACCCTACAACACTCTTTGCTGTGTTGACCGTCTTGGCATTTCTTTTGTCATAGCATAGTTCGTATCCCAGAAAGTGTAGCATTGAAGCCAATGGAGGTGAAGCGGAAGCAAAGGAATACAAACCAGAAACGACCAGAAGCAAGTGAAAAGGGGGAGGCGTGAACGCAGCAAAGACATTCGTATGCAAAGGGCCAGAAGCAGCAAAAAAAAAAAGGTCACAGTGGCACAGTGGCACAGTGGCACGGAGACAATAAAGTCCAGTGACCTGCCGTGTATGCGGAATGAATGGGGAATCGCGACTAGGGGAGCAGAGGGAGGGGGTAAGCAAAATGCGACGCTGGCCGTCTTTGAGTCTTTGAATGTATCCGAAACGAGAAGAGTGCCTCGGGGACAGGGCATCCAGGTGGAGGCGCAGAGGGACGCACGGAGGAGGTGATGAGAAGAAGGCAATGGAGAGCGATGAGAGGACGCGCAGAGCAGGCCCGCTGGAGAACGTCCTAACGAGAGACGGGAAATGAACAGCAAGAGAATGACGGGCCATGGGCGTGGAGAGACAAGAATAAACAATGCCAGAAAATAAAAATAAAAATAAAAAGTCATCTTACCGGTCAAGAGGGCCGTTGAGGGCGGCAATGCGTCCTGGTCCAGCCATGGCCAGCCACTGCAGCATGGACAGCCCGCCGTAGAGCCAGGGCATGCGCACATCGAGCTGCACAATGTTGGAGATGGTGGTCCAGAGACTAAAGGCCAGCACAGGCACGACGGGCTCGTCGGTCCCGGCGACGGACGTGGCGACCGAGTAGATGGACGCGGACGACGGCGCGACCTTGACGTCGAGGAAGCCGTCTTTGCCGCTGCTCTCTGCCACGGACTCTTTGACTTTTGCCACGACAATGCCGCGCATGGGCAGCGAGCGCGATAGCGTGATGCTTGTCAGGAGGAAACGCAGTGATGCAAACAGCGCCATGCCGATCTTGAGGACGGACCAAAAGACCGGCGCGGCCGTCGTCGTGAACCAGTTGCCGGACGATGTCGATGTCGATGTCGATGTCGATGTCGATGTCGATGACGATGACGATGACGATGACGACGACGAGTGTGTTTGCTTCTGCAGCTTGGCGGCCGCCCGCCGCTTTTTGGCGAGCCGTTTCGGGTCGTTGTCGTCGCCGTCCATCTTCTCGCGCACAATCCGGGCCACCAAGCCGACAATCTCATACATCATCCACGGCTCGGCCACGCGCCGCGCCAGCACGTTGCCCACAATCAGCTCGGCAAAGATCTGGGTGACGAGCGAGGTCAAGCACTCGTTCTCGAGATCCTCAGTCGGAAGGAGCACGGCCAGCAGGCCGCGGACCAGCAGCTGGCGGTATGCTGCCTCGTTGGTGGCCTGCTCGAGGGCGATGCTGTCGTCCTCCGGCTCCCGGTGGTGGAGATCCGCCTCGCCGAGTTGGATCTTGACCCCGGACGTTGCGGCAGGATGGACGTATGACGCCCCTGGCGGCGGCGGCGGCGGCACCGGGGACAGAGCCGGCAGTGGCCACAGCGCATGGTACACGGCCCGCGGATCCGTCTCGACGGGCGGCTGCACGGGCGGTCGCCGCGAGGCACGGTACGCGCGCACATGGTTGCCCAGCAGCGCCGGCAGCTCGTCAAACAGCAGGCTCTCTAGGTCTATCTTGCGCAGCCGCTGTTCCAGGGCGCGCGTGCAGTGTGCCACGATCTGCACAAGCTCTGTCACGAACTGGTCGTCGTCGGGCGTGATCTTGCTGTACCACGCCAGGACAAACTCGCGCACAATGACGGCCAGCAGCGCGTACAGCTGCAGATCGACGTCGTTGCGGCTCGTGAGGGGTGGCAGGAGATCCTCGATGGGTGTAGCATCGCCGCCTCCGCCGCTCGCGCCGCCTAGACCTTGGGTTGCCGTTGTTGATGATGCCCCGTCTTTTGGACAGAGCGTTCGTCGGATGAGCAGGATGGTCGCTTTGTCGGAGAGGGGATCGACGCCGGCCGCACGTGGTAGGGGCGGCGGTGCACGGCGTGCAGCCGGAGGGGCAGGCATGGGTGCCTGGGAGATGGGTGGTTTCTCGGTCATTGTTGTGGCTGTGACTGCTGCTGCTGCTGTTGTTGTGTTGTTGTTGCGTTGAGAGGCGACGTCTCGCGAACTACCGCTCGAGCTGCCACTGGTAACGAGCTTTCCTGGCGCCGGTTGGCCGTCGCTGCCGTCGTGGATGATCCTCGCCGTGCAGAGGGAGGCGATCGTGGTCCGGACGCGGCCGTGTCGTGACGCTGGACCCCCTATTTTTGGTGTCGCCTTGTCCGTTGCTGCTGTTAGCGAGACCGTGTTGGAGATCGCCAGATGTTCATTCCCGCCCTTATCAGCAGTACCAAAACGGCAGGCGGTGTGGGGCCGCTGTATTACCGTGGAAGGACGCTAAGTGACGCCAGCCCGCTGCAACCCGCTATATAGCGCGGGTGTTCCCTGCTAGGCTGCTATATCCTGCTATAACTATAGGGGATCGCCAAATTTGCACGTCAGGGTCTATTCAGGTAAGGTATCGCCTCTTTGACATCGCCACTTCGCTTCTCAATTTCACGAGTTTATTTCAAGCTGTGCTTGAACTCTTTCCTTCAGAATAGCAGGTGGCTGACATTTTTCTTTTCATTTCTTTTTTGTCTTTTATTTCGCTTACAGACTTCGGTGGTGCACATAGGTGTTTCCTAGTAATATGCAAACACCAATTGCAGCCTTTGAGAATCGACGGCACAGTTGTTTGAACGATGATTTTCTGCAGACAGGCAGCGAGTGTTCAGCCCCGATACTCTGTACACCTATCCCAAGACATGTCGTCGTTGTCGTGACAACCAAAGGAGCATTTGTCGTGTGTGGTGTCTGCGTATCTGCGGCCACATCTGCGGCCCTCCCGTGGCCGGTCACCGTCCAAGAGCCGCATGCACACCCTGGGGCATTTCCACAATGGAACGGTCCAAGGGCCTGGACCTGCAGGGCGACTGTGCAGGGCGACTGTGCAGGGCATCCGTGCAGATGCAAGCGCAACGCTGCCTGGTGCGTGTTGTGCCTGCATATCGACTGCTGCATAAGCGAGTGTCTGCCAGCTGGCAAGCGGGGATAGGCTGCGAGGGCGTAGCAGTGCGTCCGTATTTAGGTATGCAGACCCGCGGTCGTGGTAAAGCGGTGATGGAATTTGGACATGTACAAGGCGATCGATATATACATCGGACGTTGGACACAAGAGACAAAAGACCCAGCCATCAGAACGCCCACAAACGATCCCAATGCATCCTGCCGGGAGACCAATAACAAAAAGCGACGTCTATATTTTTTAGATGCGGCATAATGCGAGCGTGAGAGAAGGACGTTGAACAACGGAAACGGAAAGCTATGAGTTTTGTACAGGCGACAAGAAGAGGAGAATGAAAAAAGACATGAAAGGCAAGAGTTGGCTCGGCGTATCGTGGAAGAAAATCAATCATGGGCGTCGTCTATGTGTCGTCTACTGGTCCGACTCTTTGCGCGTCGCCTCGTATCTATTGGCATGTTTCGTTAGTGGGTGTTCATTTCGTCTGTTTCTTCCGAGCGTCGCGCGGGCAGATCAACTCACCTCTTGCCGCGGAAGGCCCACAGGCCCCAGTTGCCGCAGCTAATGTCCTGCGGGTCCATGTCGTTGAGATCCCACCGCTGGCTGCGGAAGATGTTCTCGCCCGGCTGCATCAGCAGGTCGAACTCGCCGCGCGCCGTCTTGTTCACCCACTCAATGTCGCGCTCCATGTCGTACTGCGTGTAGCCCGTGACCAGGATGGGCGCCTTGGTCTCCAGGAGCAGCGGCACCGTCTCCGCCCACTCGTGTGAGCTCGCCGGGTGGCCCAGGCCCGGGTGGAAGAGCATAAAGCAGTCAAAATACGGGTCGTACGGGTAAAAGTACCCCGTCTTGTGCACCGTGTGGTAGTAGTCCACAATCGTGCTAATCTTCATCGACGGCCACACGCGGTCCTCCACGACGGCGCCGAACGGGTTCGCGGGCGTGCGTGGCGGCAGCGGGAACTCGTCGTCGCGGTTCGTCATGCTCTCGGGCCCGATAAAGATGAGGTGGATGCGTGCGCTCGGGAACAGGTGCGCCAGCTGCACCCACACGTCGCGCGGCAGCGACGACTCGGCGCGCGCGCCCAGCACAAACAGGCGCACCGCCGGGGCCTGCGGCCGCAGGCCCTTGATGCTGTCGCTCTCGCCGGACTTGGGCGGGTGCAGCGTGTAGCGCAGCGCGCTGAAGCTCTTGAGGCCCTCCGTGGTCAGCTGCCCGCCCTTGCGGATGCTGTACGGGCTCAGCTCGTGCAGCACGCTCGCAATCGTCACCGGATACGTCAGCAGCCGTGTCACCTGCCGCATGCTGCGGTCGTCGCTGATCGCGTTGAAGCCGCGCGTGTACATGAGCGTGTCCCAGTTGGTCATGTTGACCAGCGCCTCCTCCATCTGCGGACCGGGGTAGTCGAACTCGGGAAACAGCCGGCCCGACCGCAGGTCGTGGTCGTCCTCGTTGATCTGCCGCAGCGTGTCGCAGATCTCCAGGTGCGCCTCGTAGTCGTCCATCCAGTGCGCCTCGCTGCAGTACACCGGTATGCCGCAGTCCGGGCACTCAAAGTCCACGTGTGCCGGCGGCAGTTCGCTGCCGTTCTCAAACCGCGCCAGCGTCGTCTTGAGCCGTGGCTCGGCCGCCGGCAGGTGGGTGCTCTTGTGGTGCGGGTGCGGGCAGTGCGCATGCATCTTGATGAATGCGGCACGCTTGCGCATGTCGGCGATCGGCGAGTTCGTGTACGAGTGGAACAGGTCGTCCTCGGCCAGCACCCGGTTCTCCTTCTCGTGTGCCGCGAGAGACGCCGCGCTGGGCTGCTGCGCGTTGTCGGTCTTGGCCGCAAACACGGACGTCGAGCTCCTCCGCCTCTGCGTCGCGGATGTGGGGTGGAGGGGCGTCGCTGTGGACGAGGCGGCAGCGTCGGCCCGCCACCGCGGCCGCGAATCGGACGTACACGACATCGAAGACACCTTGGCTGAAGCAGCCGGAGGCGTAGCGAGCGTGGACCGCGCGCGCGTCGCCGAGGTCGGCAGACGTCGGGCGGCGTTCACAGGGGAGAGCGGCCGTGGCCGGGCAGGCGCCCGTGCACATTGCCGGCACAAATTGGACAGCATGGCTCGGACGGCGGGCTCGGAGGATGCCATTCTTGTGTGCAGAGCCGGTGGTGTCGGGATTGGGCCACTCAATGCGGAGTGGGCAGCCGTCGGTCGTCGGTCGTCAAAGCAAACGCAGGAAGCAGAAGCAGAGGATATCGTATGTTTCTTCGTGTGGCCTGAGGGCCCCAGTTTAAAAAAATGTTAGCACCAAACACGCCTGGAACTGCTGCTGGCATTCCCCTCCATAGGCGCGGCAGAATACTCTGTAATTACCAACGAGAAATTCTCGTTACCGCCCGCCTTCCCTTTACAGCAGCAATTGGAGGGGGTAGCTCACGAAGCTCTGTGATTGGCCACTGCGGAAATAGTATGTTCCGAGGCCCGGAGACCCGCCTAGCTTCCAAACGTCGGGGCCCGCCAGAGCTGTTTCTGTGTTGATTTTTTTTCTTGCCTGCACTTCCTCTTCCATTTAGGTATCCAGGCTTCTTTCTCTCCACGCTCTTTTCTTCTCTTTTCTACCGCTTCCCCCCACCTTTCCTCGTGGCCTCTCTTTCCCACGCAGGCCCCGACTCTCCATCCCATGCCCTGATCGGCCTCTTCCCTCCCCTGCGCGGCGATAGACTGGGCTTGCGCCCGCATCCGCAAACATGGCGACCGCCACGTCGAACATGTTTCTCTACTCGCTGACGCTGCAGCCGCCGACCACGATCAGCCATGCTATCCTCGGCCAGTTCTCCGGCACCAAGGAGCAGCAGATCCTGGTCGCGTCCGGCTCGCGTCTGGCCCTCCTGCGTCCCGAGCCCGCCCAGGGCAAGGTCGTGACAGTGCTGGCCCACGACGTCTTTGGCATCATCCGTGCCCTCGCGTCCTTTCGGCTGGCTGGAAGCTCCAAAGGTATGTTGTGTCTCGTCTCTGGCTAGACGCGTCCGACGGCACACCGTCCGGGCGTGTCCCCTTCCTAACAGCGTCTGTTGTTTTGCTTTTACTGTTGGCTAACGAGACCTCTTTGTGCCTCTCAGACTACATTATTCTGGCTACAGACTCGGGCCGCATCACAATCGTGGAGTACATCCCTGCCGAGAACCGATTTTCACGCGTGCATCTCGAGACCTTTGGCAAGTCCGCCGTGCGGCGCGTCGTGCCCGGCCAGTACCTTGCTGCCGATCCCAAGGGCCGCGCGTGCTTGATCGCCGCCGTCGAGAAGAACAAGCTGGTCTATGTGCTGAACCGCAATGCCCAGGCGGAGCTCACCATCTCTTCGCCTCTCGAGGCCCACAAGCCGGGCGTCATTGTCATCGCCATGGTGGCACTCGACGTCGGCTACTCCAACCCTGTGTTTGCTGCGCTGGAGATGGACTACAGCGAGTCGGACCAGGACCCGACGGGCGAGGCGTACCGCGAATCGGAGACGCTGTTGGTGTACTACGAGCTGGACCTTGGCCTCAACCACGTCGTGCGGCGCTGGTCCGACCCCGTGGATGCCACTGCCTCGATTCTCTTCCAAGTGCCCGGCGGCAACGACGGCCCCAGCGGCGTCCTCGTCTGCAGCGAAGAGAATGTCACCTACCGCCACTCCTACCAAGAGGCCTTCCGCGTGCCCATCCCACGGCGACGTGGTGCCACGGAGGACCCCAGCCGCAAGCGCACCATTGTGTCGGGCGTCATGCACAAGCTCAAGGGCAATGCCGGTGCCTTTTTCTTCCTCCTGCAGACAGAGGATGGCGACCTGTTCAAGGTGACCCTGGACATGGTCGAGGACGACGACGGCAACCCGACAGGCGAGGTGCTGCGCCTCAAGATCAAGTACTTTGACACGGTGCCCGTCGCGTCGAGCCTCTGCATTCTTAAGAGCGGCTTTCTGTTTGTTGCGTGCGAGTTTGGCAACCACCACTTTTACCAGTTTGAGAAGCTCGGCGACGACGACGACGAGCTCGAGTTCTCCAGCGACAACTTCCCCGCCGATCCCAAGGCGCCGTACGAGCCCGTCTACTTTTCTCCGCGGCTGGCGGAAAACCTCGCCCTGGTCGAGAGCATCGACGCCACCAACCCCATGCTGGACGTCAAGATTGCCAACTTGACCGAGGACGACGCACCACAGATCTACTCGGTCTGCGGCAATGGCGCGCGCAGCACCTTCCGGATGCTGAAACACGCCCTGGAGGTGAACGAGATTGTCGCGTCCCAGCTGCCCGGCACACCCACGGCCGTGTGGACCACCAAGGTGCGCCGGGACGACGATTTTGACTCGTACATTGTGCTGTCGTTCAACAACGGCACGCTCGTCCTGAGCATTGGCGAAACCGTCGAGGAGGTACGGGACACGGGCTTCCTCACAGGCGTTCCCACTCTTGCTGTCCAGCAGCTGGGCGACGACGGCCTCATCCAGGTGCACCCCAAGGGCATCCGGCACATCCGTGACGGCCGCGTCAACGAGTGGCCGGCGCCGCAGCACCGGTCCATTATCATTGCGGCAACCAACGAGCGGCAAGTCTGTGTTGCCCTCAGCTCGGGGGAGATTGTCTACTTTGAGATGGACACCGACGGCTCGCTCGCCGAGTACGACGAGAAGAAGGAGATGTCGGGCACCGTCACCAGCTTGAGCCTGGGTGCCGTGCCCGAAGGCCGTCTCCGCAGTTCCTTTTTGGCCGTGGGCTGCGACGACTGCACCGTGCGCATTTTGAGCCTCGACCCTGAGACGACTCTGGAGAGCATGTCCGTCCAAGCACTGACGGCGGCGCCCTCGGCGCTGCTCATTATGGCCATGGACGACTCGTCTGCAGGGGGCTCCGCCATGTACCTGCACATTGGCCTCAACTCGGGCGTGTACCTGCGTACCGTCCTGGACGAAGTGACGGGCGAGCTCACGGACACGCGGCAGCGTTTCCTGGGCCCAAAACAGGTGCGTCTGTTCTCGGTGTCCGTGCAGCGACGGGTCTGCGTGCTGGCACTCAGCTCCCGTCCCTGGCTCGGCTACGACGACAGCAAGGCCAAGAACTTTGCCATGACCCCGCTCGACTACGGCGAGCTCGAGTTCGGCTGGAACTTTAGCAGCGAGCAGTGCGAAGAGGGCATGGTTGGCATCTATGGCAACTTTTTACGGTGAGTATTTCTCCAGCCCTGCCTTTTTTGTTTTCGTTTTGGTTTTTGTTTTGATTTTGTTTTGCCCTTTCACCCCTCGGACCTCCTTGGTCTGGCATCATGATGAGTAATAAGGGAATTAATCCTACGCTATACAATAGCCATGAGGACTCAGTATCATTTGATATCAATTGTTCCTTCTGACATGCCGTCTTTCTCTCCCGTTTCTTGTTTCTGCTTTATCTTGTTGCTTTTTCTTGGCACAGAGACTAACGCAACCAGAATCTTCTCGATTGAGAAACTAGGCGAGCCTCTCATTCAGAAAACCTTCCCCTTGACATATACCCCCCGCCGGCTCGCCAAACATCCCGAGCTCGGCATCTTCTACACGATCGAATCCGACAACAACACCCTCTCTCCCGACCTACGGCGGCAACTTCTGGAAGCGTCAGGCGCCACCAACGGCAACGCACAGCCCCTCCCGCCGGCCGACTTTGGCTACCCGCGGGGCAATGGCCGCTGGGCCTCGTGCATCAGCGTCGTTGACCCCGTCGGCGAGGACCCGGGCGTCACGCAGACCATTGAGCTCGAGGGCAACGAGGCCGCGGTGAGCATGGCTGTCGCGCCGTTCACGAGCCGCAACGGTGAGAGCTACCTGATCGTGGGCACGGGCAAGGACATGGTCATGAGCCCGCGCCGTTTCTCCGACGGCTACCTCCACGCGTACCGCATCAGCGACGACGGCAAGCAGCTCGAGTTCCTCCACAAGACCAAGGTGGAAGAGCCGCCGACGGCCATGATTCCCTTCCAGGGCCGCCTGCTGGTGGGCATCGGCAAGGTGCTCCGGATCTACGATCTGGGCATCAAGCAAATGCTGCGCAAGGCCCAGGGCGAGGTGGCCGACAAGCTGATTGTGTCTCTGGCGACGCAGGGCAGCCGCATCATTGTGGGCGACCTGGAGGAGGGCGTCACGTACGTGGTGTACAAGCCCGAGGTCAACAAGCTGCTGCCGTTTGTCGACGACACCATCAAGCGCTGGACCACGTGCACGACAATGGTCGACTACCAGACGGTGGCCGGCGGCGACAAGTTTGGCAACCTGTGGATTGTGCGGGCGGCCGACAAGGTCAGCCAGGACGTCGACGAGCCCGGGTCCGAGCTGCAGCTGGTGCACGCGCGCAGCTACCTGCACGGCACGCCGAACCGCCTGGCGCTGATGGCGCACGTGTACACACAGGACGTGCCGATGAGCATCTGCAAGACGAGCCTGGTCGTGGGCGGCCAGGAGGTGCTCGTCTGGAGCGGCCTGCAGGGCACCGTCGGCGTGCTGGTGCCGTTTGTCAACCGCGAGGATGCCGACTTTTTCCAGAACCTGGAGACGCACATGCGGCAGGAAGACGCGCCGCTGGCCGGCCGCGACCACCTCATGTACCGGTCGTACTATGTGCCGGTCAAGGGCGTGATTGACGGCGACCTGTGCGAGCGGTTCAATCTGCTGCCGCGCGACAAGAAACAGATGATTGCGGGCGAGCTGGACCGGTCGGTGCGCGAGATTGAGCGCAAGATCTCGGACGTTCGCACACGATCCGCCTTTTAGGAGGCCCCTCTCCCCGTGTCATGTTTGCACACATGTTTTTTTATTTTATTTTTTACATTTTTTCGTTCATTTTGGCTTTATGAATTTTCATGGCTTTGCATTTTTACGAATGATACCGGCGTCCATGGCTTTCTCGGAGCGGGTTTGGTCTGGCGGACAGGGCGAATGTCCACGACATAAAAATATCCTTGGTACGACGGGCCAATTGGCGTTTTTTTATTTTTTTACATGTTTCTTATATACATGACGATTTACATGTTGCAGAGCTGTGTATGTGTATGCGTACACGGCACATAATCTACGGGACGAGCAATGGCTTCACTAGCAAAACTGGTTTCCGAAATAAGGCTGTGAATGACGGTATATGGTGAACGGGTCGCTGCGTACATGCAGCAGGGTATGACAGGGCCACTTGTCACCTCAGCTCCTCCGCCGCGAGAAGAAGCCACCGACCCTGCCGTCGGTGCCATCGGTGCCACTGTTCTTGTGCGCCTTCTTCCGCCGCGCGTTTGCCTTCTGCTTGGCGGCCTCCACCGGATGGGACCTCTCCCACTGCTCGTCGGCCTGGAACGCTTCGACGGCAGCTCTCAGATCGTAGTCGTAGCCCAGTTCCGCGTCTTCTCCACGCCAAGCCGTTTGTTCCAAGTACAGCACCGCCAGGTCGTAGTCAGATACTTTGCACGCCACCATGAACCGCCGAATCGCCGCCTTGCGCCGGCCCTCGGCCTCGCTCTCGACAGGTTGCGGCGAGAGGGAGGCCAGGGCTGCGTGGGCCGACGACGGAATCTGGATGACGCGGCGGGCTTGCAGTAAATGGTCGGCCGCCAGACGATTCGCTTGCCGCAGCTGGGCGGCCGGGACGTTGTAGCGGAGGGACAGCGAGGCGATGGAGTCGCGGTCGTGGTCGAGGTAGTGGAGGACAGGACCGGCGTCTTTTTCGGAGGGAAAGGAGAGAGATGAGGGAGATAAGGGAGAGGAGGGAGAGGAGGTGGCGTTGTTGTTAGGAGCATTGTTGGTGCTGTACGGAGGCGGCGCTTCGTCTGTGGATGATTGTGCATCGGCCGATGTGCTTGCGCCGGCACCGAAACGACGATACGGTGGTGGTGCCTTGAGGCCCGGGGGCAGGAGGTCGCTGGTTGCTGATGCCATAGTCTTCGACGGCGGCGGCGCAGTCGCAATCTGGCAGTAGGGGCAGTATGTCACAAAGCGAGCGTTCTTCGTTAAACAAGGACTGCAGACAAAACGGTCGCAGCAAGGCAGCTGGCGGTGCTGAGGCGAGCCTGTCATGGCGTCTTTTGGCGTGACCGGGGCGGCCGGAGTGATCGGAATGCCAGCCGACAGTGGTGCGGCACAGGTGCAGCAATAAGACGTCATCGTGGGCGGCGATGAATTTCTGTTGACAGGACTGTATGATGGGATGCTGGGACGTTGGCAGGAGGCAGAAGGCATCGCCACATGTTGCAGGATACGGAGTTCGCCTGAGGGTGTGAACAGCGGGGCCGCTCTTACAACGTGGACCCACATTTATTTTACTGTGTTATTCTGAGAACCGATGAGCTGGACAACAACAGTAGGAGACTAGTATGTATTCTAATTCTATTTCTGCAATCCTGTCTCGTGCCATGTTCTGCGTAAAATCTGTGCGCCGACTACGCAAGCCACGACATGTCCCCCGCTGCAGCCGCCCGCCGGCACTGCGACAGCTCGTCGAGGAACGCTGGGACAAAGGTGCCGGGACCCTTGACCGACGGCAGCACAGCGGCCCGTGCCGCAGCCCGCTCGTACAGCGCCATTCCGGCCAGCACAGCAGCAAAGGTGTCAATGTCCTCGCTGTCTGGGCCACGGCCTGCGCAGTCGGACGCACGCCGCAGTGTCGCCGCGGCCGCAATCGACGCCGACATCACAGTCCCCAGCGAACAGCCCGTGCCCGTGACCTGGCCGAGCATCGGGTGGCCGTCGGCGACGGCCACAACGCGGGCCCCACGGCTGTCGCTCACGTAGTCGACCGCGCCCGTCAGCACGACAACACACTTTTCGCGCGCGGCCAGACGGCGCACCAGGCGGATGCGCGCCTCGGCGTCGAGCGTGTTGCTGCCGTCGACGCCGCGCTGCTGCGCCAAACCGGCAGACTCTGCCGCGGCTTCGTCGTCCGACAGGCCCGACAGGTACACCGTCTGGATCTCGCCCTCGTTGCCCTTGATGACGTCCAGGTAGCCGGCGGCCATGATCGTGCGCACGGCGGCGCGGCGCACGGCCGTCGCGCCCGCGCCCACGGGATCAAAGACGACAGGGCGGCCGGCGGCGTTGTAGGCGGCAATGGCTTTCACGTAGTTGGCGAGGCTCTCGGGCGTCGCCGTGCCCATGTTGATGACGAGCGCACTGCCCGGCAGGCGCGCCAGGTCGGCCGCCTCGACACCGCTGTTGGACATGATGGGCGATGCGCCGACCGCCAGAGCCACGTTGGCCGCGATGTTCTGCACGACCAGGTTGGTCATGTTGTGCGACAGCGGCGTTGTCTCGTGCAGCGCCTGGAGGATGCGCTGGATGGTGGCGGTGGGTGGCAGCGGGGACGGCGACGTGTAGGAGGCAAGCGACGTAAACGGAGCGGCCGGTGCGCGGTAAAACGCCGTCGGGCCCTCGTGCTTGCCCAGGCGCACCTGCTCGGCCAGAGCCTCCGCCGCTGCGAACGGGTCGGCTGCGCCCATAATGGCACTCACCACAGCCACGCCGTCGAGCGCCTTGGGGGGACTGGCCTCCCCCGCGCTGTCTCCACCGTCAAACCCGCTCTGGAAAACGACCCGCCGCGCGTTGCTCGCGTTCACGCCGCCAATGCACACGGCCGGAATGTGCCCGAACCCGGCCGCTGCCATCGCCTGCAGCATCCGCTGGATCCCCGCCGTGCCCACAACGTGCTTCGTGTTGGTCTTGGTCGGCGTCGCAAACACCGTGCCCAGCCCCAGGTAGTCGGCGCCGTCGCGGCATGCCGTCACCGCCTCGTCCACCGTGCTTGCCGTCACGCCGATAATGGCGTCCGGCCCCAGCATCCGCCGCGCCGTCGCCACGTCAATGTCGTCCTGTCCCAGGTGCACGCCCTCGCAGTGGCCGCGCGCGGCCGCGGCCACGGCGACGTCGACCCGGTCGTTGACGAGCAGTGGTGCTCCCGCGGGGCCCGTGAATTCGTGCAGAGCAGCGAGTGTCGCCAGCATCGTGCGTGCATCGGCGTCTTTGTCGCGCAGCTGGACGATGCCAATGTGTGGGGGTGTCGATGTCGATGTCGATGTCGATGCCGATGTCGATGACGTTTGGTGGCGGAAGGCGGCACCCACGACATCGACGACCGTGCGGCCCGGCCCGAGAATGGCCGGTGTCGGGTCCGTCACCAGGTAAACGGAGTAGTCGACTTTCGGGGGCATGTTGGGCGGCAAGAGTGTTGGCAAGAATTAAAACGAAAAGAAGACAAGAATGCAGAATCGAGAAAGCGAAATGACTGCGCTGTTGCGTCAATTGCGCTCCGAACGCGGCTTAAAACGGCCCAGTGGGGGTCGAGCTAGAGCTTTTTTTTTCTCCGCAGCGGGCTGGGGCGATCACTACTGTATTAAGCTAACGACTTACACGAACACCAGTCTCGGCGCGCGACCCGGCTGCCATATTTCCATTCCTCATTGCGTCTCCCGTCTCTCCGCACATGCTTTCCAGACGTTACTTACGTCTTCACAGCTGCTGGAATCACGAACGTGCCCATGCCGTGTCCCGGCACCGATCCGGACACCGCCCCGTCTGCCGTCACTGTCGCCGCCGACGTCTCACAACTGTGCGTGTTGTCCGTCACCCAGAGACCCACGCCCGTCGCCGTCGACGGCACCGTCACGCCCGCTACCTTGACCGTCACCGTGTTGGGCGCTGCCGCGCTGTTGATGAGCACCGCGGCAATCGTGCCGTCCACATTTCGGAATGCCGCCGCCCGCAGACCCGCGCCCGCCCCCGTCGCCGCAATGCGCGTGGCCCCGGGGCGCACGTAGCGCGAGAACTGTGCAAACGCCCACAACCGCTTCGCCACCTCGTACGTGTTCGTGCTGCTGTCCACCTTGATCAGCTTCTCGTTCGTGTTGGGGCTCGGCCCCTGCACGCCCTCCCAGTAGAGGTACCCGCCAATGTTCGTGTTCACAATCGCGTTCATAATGTTGCTGGCCCACGTCATGCCCTCGCCCGCGCCGCCGCCCCCCGACCACGCCGTCGACCATCCGCCGTTCAGGTCGCACTGCTCCGACAGCCACATGGGCACCTTGACGTTCATGGGGCCCGAGGGCCCGCTCGTGTACGTGTGCGAGCTAAAGGCCTTGACCAGGGCGTCCGCGCCCGCCGACTTGATCGCGTTCGTCAGGCTGACCTGGTTGCCCCAGCCCTCCGACTCGCAGCACACAATGCCCAGCGAGTCCGTGAGGTTCTGTGCCTGGATCGTCTTGTACAGCAGCTTGATAAAGTCGGCCGCCTGCGCGCCCGACGTGCCCATCGACGCGTAGTTGGCGCTGTACTCGGGCTCGTTGAGGAAGCCCAGGTGCGACACCGTGACGCCCGCGTCCCTGTAGAACCCGACGTACGCCAACAGGTAGTCCGCATACGCCTGCTTCCAGTCCGATGCAATCGACCCGCCGTTGGCCTCGTTGCCATTCGTCTTCATGTACCCCGGCGCGCTCCACGCGTCCGCGTAGATGGTGCGCACGCCGTACGTCTTGAACGCCTCCTGGCTGACAAACAGCTGGCCCGAGTCTTTGCCGTCAAACTGGTAGTTGGGCTTGGCCGTCGGGCTGCCCGGGCTCTTGGGCGCAAACGTGTTCATGTGGTCCGAGCTCGAGTCGGGCGACGACCCGATGCCGTTGCGCAGCATCGAGAACCCGGCGCCCGACGTCGTGTTGAACAGCAGGTCCAGCAGCTGCCGCTGCTTGGCGGCGTTCTTCATGTTGGTGATGAGATTGGCGCGCTGAAAGGCCAGGCTGAACCCGAATCCGTCCATCTTTTGGTACGTCTTGTCCGCGTTGACGGTCAGTGTCGACACGCCGCCGGCACCGCCACCCTGCCGCGGGTAAAGCTCGTAGACGACCTCGTTGACTGGGCCGGCTAGGCCGGTCGTCGCAATTGAGGCCGCAAGAGCAGCTGATATAAACCGCATAGTTGAGATGTATGTGCGTGGCTGGTATTTTTTTTTGTTTGCTTTTGCTGTCTCTCATATATGCTGCTTCGTGGAGGGACGTGCGGCAAAATGGTCGCAGTGCTGCCGACTCTTGCAGCGAAGCACTCGACCTTCAATCGGCTCGTACATATATATTCGTGCCCCTTTTTCTCTGCATCTCCGTTTCACCGTCAATCCTCTTTCCCCGCGTCCGTATCGGTAGTTGTATGGCACATGGCAGCTCATCTCTCCCGATATCGTTGTATATTGCCGGGTGTTAACAAGAATGCTACCTCCCGCTGATTGCTTGGGCTGTCTTGGCGCACGCTGCCAGAGAAAGCTGTATCCAAAAAGTCAAAGTGTCAAAGTATAAGTGTGCTGTGATTGTCTGAAGATGGTAGAATACCCATAAGCCCAAATCTATAAAACATACAAGGCCAAAAGCAAGCAAATTACAATCATGAACAGGCTTCCTTTTCCCAATAATTATTCCATCCCTCTCTACAGAAAAAGTTGTCATACCCAAGCCATGGCGTTATGCATGAACCAAAAAAAATGCTCAAGAAATCCAAATAAAAAAAGATGTGCAAATATGTCATCCGACAACGCCAACATTCGTGCCCCCCCCCCTCCCCCCTTTTGTGATGTACTGGTTCGTTTGGTAGATCGGGTAAATAACCAGCTGGCGAACCCATATTTCGTGCGGATAAATCCGGTGAAATGGACAAGAAAGAGACGGGCGGGGGAGATCAATTCAGAACCGCAACCCAGGATCAAGACAAATTCGCGGCGCCTAGAGCGAGAGGTCCTCTTCTTCTCGCATCGGCACATGCAGAATTGAACAGGGGACGCTTCAGCTGCTCGCTCCGACTGCAGTCTCGCTTACAAATTCATTTGGCCCCAAGAATCGTAATACGCCGGTGTGCCCATGTTGGCGTCCATGTACGACTCCCACCCGGGTGCATTGAGAAAGTCAGGGAAGCCGGGCCCGTCCATGTTCTGCATGTAATCAATAGTCGCGTCTGTAAAGCTGAGGAACGGCTCGGAGTAAATCGCAATGGATTCAAGCGGTGCATCGGTTGCCGTTGCCTCAACAGTGCCGGGCGAGGTCAAGTGCAGTGGCTGTTGGTGCGGCTGCAATGGTTGTTGCTGCTGCTGCTGCAGGTTCAGCGGATGCGGGTCTGGGGCGTCCATGTGACCTGCATAGCCGGCGATGCCGGGCCCTGCAACATTGACGTTTGACGGCGATGACGAGGTCATTCCCATGTCCATATCCGCAGACTGCTGCATGGGGACCTGGGCATGGCTCTGGTTCTGCTCTTGAGCGCTGGATCGGTCCGTCCGGTCGGATGGGGGCACGGCATCCATCATGGTGGCAAACGGCAGCGGGCCCATGGTATTTGCCGGCCCGGCACCATTGATTATCGGATTCAGGGCGCCACTGCTGTCGCCCGGTAGACTGTCCAGCTCCTTGGAGATCATAGCCTTGAGCTCGGTGAGGTGCTCGGCCAGGCGCGTAAAAGGATCCTGGCGGGGATCCATCATAGGACGGCCATTTTTGCTAGCTTGTTTGTCGCTAGTATCGTTCGAATTGTTCTTGCTCGTGTCGTCTTTTCCGCCAGTATTGTTCGTGCCGTTCGCATCATTGCTGTGCCTAGTCGGCATCGAATCCTTGCCGATGGCATCTGCCTCGGAACTGGCCGGTGACCCGGTACTGCTGTTGCCACTGCTAGACTCTCCACTCCTTGTGCCGCTGTAGCTTGTCGTCGCCGTTACCAGAGATGGGACGGCATCACTTGTCCCAGCTCCGGCGCCATTGGCTGTCCTGGGGCGAAGATGCTCTTCGGGCGAGATGCGGAAGCGCTTCTGGCTACGACGCTCCGCGAGCAGCTGCAGGTCCAGAATCTGGCGGTCGATGAGGTCGTCAAAGGCCAGTTCCGTTCGCACTCGGCGGCCGTTCCAGCCGGGCGCTTGCAGTGTCATGAGCTTGAGCGAAGTCAAAAAGGCATACGTAAAGTCAAATGTCGACAGGCACAGGAAGCGTGGTTGGTCGGTGATGTAGTCTTGGAAGCGGTTGCGCATCAAGTCCTTGATGGCGTACGTGCAGGCCCATAGCAGCTCCAGGCGGTCGCCGGCCGACAAGGGCTCGTCGCGCAGTGCCGGGTCGATGCCGATTTCTTGCAGGCCCGCTTCGTAGAGAAGGATTTCGGCCGCGTGGACGTGGCCAACGAGGTTGACTGAAGAGCGTGTTAGTAAGCAATTCATCAACAACCTCCATCTTCAAACCTTGGTAAACTGACCATCGTCGTGGTAGGCCTCCGGCATCTGGGCCTTGAAGGCCTCAATCTGCTGGCGCAGATTCTGCATCATATGGCGAAACGACATGCCCACCTGCACACCGTCGGTGCGTAACGAAAATGCCACGGAAATCGACTGACTCAGCTGCTGGATGCGCACGAGCTGCACCAGATACGCGTCTGATGGGTACTCCATCTGGCGCTCGAGGACCTGGCAGCATGTTTCTAGGTACGCCGTATTCATCATAATGTCGGGCCGCTTGTTGGTCGTCGTCGCCAGCGCGACAAGATAAAAGGTGCCGGCAAACGTGCGCATCTGCTCCAGGGCCACGGGCGGGTAGTCGGTGGTCTGCGGATCGACGTCGCCCGTCTCGTCCGCATCGTTGCCTGCCTGGGCACTGTTGCGTCTCAAGTTGGTGAAACAACCACCTTGAGCAGCATCACCACCACTCTCTCCAGCAGGTGTTCCACCTGCCTTCTTGGAACGAGAAGATGCCGTGAGGGGCGGGAGCGCCTCGCTGATACCGAGCGACACGCACATCGCCCGCGCCAGGTAGAAGAAGTTGATCAGCTGGAAGCTGTTGATGTTGTAGTGGAACCAACCGACTAGCACAAGCACCGCCTGCAGCATGTCGAGCGTCCGGCGCGGTTGCAAGAAAGCCGCTGCCGCCACCTCACCCAGCAATTGATTGCCCATGGCGATTTGGCGCGTTCCGTCAAGGTGACAGGCAGCCATCATGACCGACTTCCACAGCGTGGGGCGGCCAATGCGCAGCTTCTCGGATGTGACGTACTCCGGGATAATGACAAAGGGGAAGAGCGGCATCATAAACTTGCGGAACTCGGACAGCATAATCTCGGCGTCGTCGTGCTTGGGCCAGATGTTGTCTGGCGTCAAGTTCACCGAGTTTAGCGGAGGCAAGCTGGCCGGGGTTGCTGCACCCTCACC